ATGGGAAAACGCTTATTATTTCGGTTTTTCTGATAGTAACCATTTATTTAAAAAATCCACCAAAAAATAGTGAATAGAAAGTACAGAGATACCCAAATAGATAGATGTCTGATTTTGTATGATGCGGAAAGAATAATGTACCAAAAACTAAAATTTACAGAAATATGAGAGAAAATTCAGCTGATTATTCAAATCACTCAACCATTTAATAAATTTTAAATTTAAATATAATTAAATAATAAAATTACTTTAGTTTTTCAAGAAATTAGCTCGAAAAGATGTGATTTAAAAATAATTTTATTTGATAATATGAATTATTTAAAAAATTAATGCAATATATAAAAATGAGTTTATATGAAAAACAAGAATATGGAATTTTGGATTTTAAAAATCATTAAAATAAAATATGGCCATTCAAAATGGCCATTCTTATTTTTAACGCAGAGAAGTTCCTTTTTTCTTCTGAAAATATATATTTTATTTGAATTTCTAGATTTATAAAGTGATAATTTTTTTACCAATACTGATTCACATAAATGAAACAAAATTAGCAATCAATATAAGTCATAGACTATTCATATGCACCTTTCATTAAAATTAACATTTTTTTGATTTATATTTAATTTAGAAAACAGAAAATCCATCAAAAATATACTAGATATAACTTACTAGACTGTTTTAAAATAAAATTCACAATTTCTGGTTTGGCTGGCTCTGTTGGCTAGAATGAAACCGCTGTCTTGGAGAAGTATCTAGATTTGCATTTCCCCTTTAATGACTTCCATGACGTTCACTTCCATTGGAGAATAGGGACCCTAGATGGCACAGTTGAAGCAACACGTGACTCGATTATCCTTTCTCTTAGTCATTTATCATTTTTACCATTTTTTTTTCTATGATTTCAATACAGTTAATGATGTCTTTTTACTTAATTTCGCTTATTACTATAAAGAAGCGCTTCTTGATGATTTTAATCCTAAATCAATTTTAAAAAATATAATAGAATTAATGAAATTCTGTCGTTTATTTTGCAGTTTTGTTGAATTCCCACTCTTTTAACTCTTTTTTTGCACAGAATTTATAGTTTTAAAAAATTTTTAAAAAAATTTACGGAATTGATTAAGTTTATGAAAATAAGTCCAACGGCACATGCAATGGCATGTTGATTTTCCATGAATATCGCTCCAGTTAAATCACCATTCATCTCACAATTACAATTGGATAAAGCAATCGGTGCGCGATTCAGCATTTTTCTTAAGAGTCAAGTTTCAAAAAAATAAAAAGTAGAATTTGATACTTAATTAGTCACTGAGAATAAATATTGCAATAACCTGTAGGAAATCAAGATTCAATCTATTTTCATTGCTATATTTGTAGATATCTTAATAGCAGTCTAAATTTCTAAGCACTAATTGGATATAATTTTCCTTTGCATAAAATCATTTCTTTCTTTCTTATAATACGTATTTCACTGAAAGAATAGCATTTTTTTAAAAAAAGGCCGACCATTTTAATGCAAATTGCGGTTAGCAATAATGGTCGTAATCCATTTAATGATTTTTTCATAGAATGAAATATCTTTTCCATTCCATTCTATTCTATCAGTCTCTTGATGCAATTTTTTAAGGATTTGACAGGATGCATAAACGAAATCTTTCGTGCTTGACTAAATGCCTATGTATAAGGATTGCAAAATTTTTTTAAATAAAGAATCGTAAAATGCATTTTGTATTGTATTTTTCATAGAGCGATAATGTCAATTTATAAGAGAGAAATTTCTACTTGATTAACTGCCTGAAATTGAAATGTCAGGTCTACCAGGTCTAACTGAACTGAGCTCACAATCGTAAGCAAATATACTTTTTCAGGGCAAAACATTTAATAAGAATGCTTAAATCGATATGAAACCCAACTTTTACATTCTCCGCTCAATTCATCATGCTGTTTAACCAAAGAACAATAAATAATAAATGATAAATTTTTTTGGAAAATTTTAACATTAATTTGATATCGTGCAATAAATTAATTCGTCCATAAAAAATGTTGTATATGCGATCTTATATAATAGCAATTATAGCAATAGCAATTTCATTTTAGGATGAAAAATTGAAGTTTTAAGTGCATGGAATTTCTGAAATGCAAATGATTTATTGGATTGCCACTGAAATTGGATGAAAATTATTAATGAATAGGAATTTTGCTGAAATTAAAGCCTTTTTTAATGAATATGAAAAAATATTTTATTCCTTCTCGTTTCCTCGTGCGCTTTTTAAAGCAAAATCATGATGAAATATATGAATGGATTAATAAATGGATTTCAATGACAAAAGTTTTGATTTTGAATAAAAATGATATATATCAAAAAATCAAAGTTCAGTATGCATATTGTACTTTTGTCTCTGGAATAGCCAGCAGTGAATAGTATATTGGTTAATGCGTCAGCTTGAGGTCTGGGCTCAAATCCGACCGACGCACCACGGGTGGCAGTACCGTCTAACGAAACAATGGAAAGTAGAATGGCTCAGTGGATAGTTGCTGCTCAATTCGAAGCGCCCATGCTGAAATTCTCTCCAGGAAAGAGAAAAACTCCGAGTGATTCACCTATTCGCAAAGGGACTCCTTGGTATATCTAACACGACAAGCCAACTGAGCGAATTTGACCAGAAATGGTGAGTACTTTTAAAAAAAAATTCAAAGTTGAAGTTTAAGATTTTTCACGGTGAGAATAATAATGAACATTACTTCAAATATAGACAATCTACCGTTAAGTGCTTCATGAAAATTTTCCGATGCTTTTGTCGATCGACAGAGCGATCTTTTGATAAGTCAGCAGAATATAACACATTAGTATTCCAGGGATTAATGTGATGATAAACAAACTTATAAGTATTCTAATAGCATATTTGTATGAAGGATCGACCTTTTGAAGTACTAATCAATGTTATTCTTTTAGGTTATGGACAAGCCTTGTACTTAATATTAATATATTACATAAAAATACGTTGATCGTAGAAATTTTTTAGATAGATTAGGTAAAAAGCAGTCGCAAAAATGCAAAAAATATTTTATAATATAATAAAAAATTGCTAGAAAAAATGCCAAATTTCTAACTTCTTTACAAAAATAGAATATTTTTGCGCGAGATTTTTGCATACTTATTCAATTAAATCTTAATAGTTCCAAGAATCCTAACTGTTAAAAAAGTTACCACAATCACCACAAAGTTAGCAAAAAATTCTATTAATTGTCCTTGAAAAACAAATTTGAAAGCGGCTCGATCATGTCAGATAAGTTATTGGATGAATTATAATACTTGACCGCATTTGGGCAGTCTGCTTCAGGAACTAACTTGTTAGATTTGAAAATAAGTCAGTAAGTAAAAGTTGGGTTCATTTATTTAATTTCCTCTGAAAAATGAAACTTATTCGAGTATATAACTTTTCGTTGAACATAATTACTTTTATACGTAATAATTTGCTGATCCTAGACATTTAATTTGCTGCTTTGGGGCAAACGGTTTTCTTTGTATTCAATTCATTAACCTGAAGCACTATCCGTAAAACAGTTCAAACGGCACCGAGAAAACGGTGTGGGAAAACCATTTATTTAGCAAAAGTTTATTTCGTGAAGAATCGCTTCTAAAATAATGATTGATTAATTTTCAATCGGATGAAATCGATTAAAATATATTTAATAAAAAATTTGTTTATTTCAATAAAAATTTCTCGTAAATGAAACTTTCATCAAGCTTCCGGACATAGCAACAACTGAAGTGGATTTTCAGCATTTCCCGTGCACTCTTCTGTTTCCTTTGTTGCCCCTTCATTGATTTCGTGTTCAGCGTTTTAAATTTACAATTTTTTCATTCATACTTTACCTGTCGCCAAAAGGCGAAAAAAGCTATAAATTTGAGCAAATTAACCGGATTCCCGCCCATCTTAAATTAAATATAAGCTCCCAAAAGATCAATTTTAGTCATTTTGTGCTTTATTGGGGGAAACGAGTGGGAGCGGTCGGTATATGATGGTATTTTAGATTTTATATTTGATTTTTTTGACAGTATTATTTCGTTGTAGTAGGGCAATTACTTCGCTTATTTTCTTATATATATTCATTACCAATAAAGGTTTAATTACCCAAGTTTGAGGTTCGCAAAGAGAAAAGTAAGAAGTAGAACGCTGGCCGCAAAGTTTTTATAATGTTCCCGCGTGGCAAGTAAGTTAAATCTATAGAAGGATAGTGGAGGGGATTCCCAAAAGGAATTGTTGTAAAGGTAGAATATTGAAAGGGAATCGCCGTGCTTCCAACGAAAATTCTGTACTACTATAAAATCCTTTTTCTGTACATTGCGTCAGCCTGGAAGACTCGTTGTTTGAATTGAACTTTGAAGTAAGAATATCAGTCAATTATTGGTCGATTATTGATCAATATCATTTGGATAATTTTTATCGAGGAAAGAATAATTAAGAAAGGAAAAAGAAATATCGAGGATCGATATTCAGGAAAGCTTTATTGGTTTGAAAATCTTTTTTTTGAATTTTCGTAAGAGTTTCTGTAATTTCCGTCATTATTTATAAGTTTATTGATTTGGTGTGAAAATTTGAAAATTTATTTTGCTGTGACCCGAATATTGTCGAAATGATCTCGTTACTGAAGTTGAGAATTGACCTCTAGCAACGGAATTAATTGAATGCTTAACTAAAGTAGGAGGTTTTAAGACCTTTACAAATTTAAAAAACTCGCTAACAGAACTTGCACAGTTTAAGTTAGATATCAGCAAATTGGCCCAATGTGTTAGTAATGAGATAAAAGAATGGGAGGCACTAATAAATGACCCTCTCAATGCCAACAGAGATACTGACATAGAAGAAAATAAATTGATGACAGCTAGCCCGAGTGGGTACTTGCGACTCGTTCAACAGGCACATAGGGCAACTTCATATTTGGGCGTCATAATTAGATGTTGCAACAGAAATTTAAATGACAATGTCACAATAAAAATGGAAAAGACAGAAGTGGAGTCACAAAAACTTCAACCATTAATAAATCTGCCGAAATTACAACTGATGAAATTCGATGGATCAATAAGGAGTTGGGTCGCATTTAAGGATAACTTTTTATCGACCATTGGAAATAGAAATCTTGATCCAGTGGATAAACTTAGATATCTCATATCTTGCCTCGAAGGAGAAGCGAAGGAATTGGTAGAAGGATTCCCTATGGATGATGAATCTTACAGGAATTTATGGGAAATTCTGGAAAACAGATATGGAGATAAATCCATTATTATTGAAGAATTATATAAAGAATTAAGAGAATTAAACCCAAAAACAAAGGATATAAAGGAAATTCGCAAGGACTTGGAGCGAATATTTCGCCAGTTGATATCTTTAGGAGAAGATATCAACAACAATTCGATTTTGAGCATGGCACAAGCTAAATTGCCAATATTTGTGCTAAAAAGAGTTTTAGAAGAAAAAAGAAAATGCTCAACATGGGATATAAGCGAGTCAAGAAATGTAATGAAAACCTGCGAAGAGGAAAAGCTCCTATTAAGTAGAATGATAAGTAGCGGTGATAAGGAAAAGTTGCAGAAACACAAGACTATAAATAACTTTAAAAAGGAAAATAGGAGCCCATGATATGGAGCAGTCAGAACGTATCAAGTCAACCATGGTATCGAGTCAATTAGCCGTGAAGAGGAATATTGAATAAGAAATGTAGTATATTTATATTTTGTATATTTTGTGATAAAGAACATTGGAGTCACTAATGTAAAAAGGTAGCCTCTTATGAAATGAGTCTTTTAAGAAAGCTTCAACGATGTTTTCGAAGCTGAAAACTCAGCCATAGGGCAAGCGACTGTTATAGTAGAGTTAAGTGTATGAACTGCTCCAAGAACCATAATACCGCATTATCGAAGAAAAGAGAGGTGAGCGGCAACAAAAATATATGTCGCGGAAGAAATTATCCGTCCTATTGATTTGATTTGTACATTAACACTTACCTTAAAGTCGCAGAATTTTAATCGTCATGAATTATTTGAATTAAAATTGCTGAATAGATCATTGCTAGCTATAAAACTCTCAAATAAGTGATCATAAGTGATCATGACGGAATTTATAAGAGTAATTTATAATGATTAAGGGAATAATCGTAATGGTATCTTCCCTTCCTTTGATCCCAAAGGTAACCATAAAGTTCGCTTGTTTTTCTTCTAACAGTTTTTTTATATTCATGGTTTAAGCGGACTCATTGCTCATCAAGATGATAAAATCTTCATTTCTGAGAGCCCGTTCAATATGAAATAGAAAAATGATTAAGAGGGAAAAAAACATAAATACCTCAAGTTCTTAAAATAGAAGCAATATAATCTTAGGAACATAAGTGAAGATACACAATAAACAAAACATATTTGAGGAAAGAAATTTTTGAGTTAAAAAAGGGTTAAAAAACATTATTAGAATGGGCATTATCAATAGTCGTAATCAGTTCTGACACAGAAGAATGAAAATTCTCGTCACCACAATTCAATAATAATGCTCGATAAAAGTCCTTCCACTTTATAAGATCATCCGAGCAATTTAAATCTTTAAAACACTAAAAAAAAATCGAAGGTTTATAAAAGAACAAGGAAACTGCGATAAAAATAATAAAAAATAGAAAAAATTGAAATTACTTGTAATGCATTCTTCACGATATTTTGTGTAAGAATGAATAATGACCTCAACGACTCCTTACAAAATAAGAGATCTGATAGGATTGTTATTTTCTGCAATGATGTTTCATTACAGAAAAATAAACCGAAATAAGTTGTAAGATTAGTATTATTAAAAATAATGACAAAATCAAAATAACAATGGCAATGATAGTATCAAAAAATATTATAGAAAATCACAACTAAAAATGAAATTCATTTCATTTTATTAATCATAAAAAAAAACCTCATAATTATCGCTGTTTTGATCCGTTTTCTTTTGAATATCACGAAGCATAGGCAAAGAATCGAATAACAATTTTTTCAACAACTTTCGATAAATTTTCAGCTGAGTAATCGAATTACCAGCTTCAATTATATTTTATTTTACTTCATTATATTTCGTATCTCATTTCAAAATATATAGAATATTAATAAAGAATAAAGAATTATATTATGACAAAAAAATTTGAAAAATTTGAATCCACAACGAAAATATCTTTAAAATAAAGTTTAAACCATGGTTTTGCCATTAGATTCTATGTAAAACGGAAGAAATAAACGTACAAACAGGATTAAGAAAAATGTTTTCAACAATGGCTCGAATTGCTGTAAAAGATTCGCAAATAGAGCACTGCACATTAGCATCTGAAGATTTTATTCTTCCACTGACTAAATTCACGCATTCTGCATAGTGACGTTCGGCTAATTTAATCATTTCTTTCGCTTTTTTGGAACCATAAAATTTTTCCTGAAGCAATTTTAAATCAAAAATGAAAAAATGAAAAATATTACGAGAAAAAAAGGGTCATCAAAAATGCATCAAAATGGATCAAAGAAAAATTTCATCACTATCAAAGTTGAAAAACACTTTGAAAAATTATGGAAAAAAAGTTGAAATATGTTTAAAAAAGTTGAAATTTTTCTAAAATATAAACAAAGCACACCGAAGAATGATGCAGTAGAGAACCAAGACGATAATTGATTTCAATGATATATCTGGAGGCATTATTGCGCGCTTTTGCCGATGACTTTGGTGAATCACGAACAAGAGTATAAGCATACAATGCACGAGTCAAATACTCCCGTACTTCCATAGCAACCTAAAAATATTTGAACAATCCTAAGTAAATCAAATTTTATAAAGATTCAATTTTATAAAGATTCTTTATAAAAAAAATTTTTTTTTAAAGAACCAACGAAATTAATGTACTTTTTACAAAATATTCGTTCTAACTGAACCAAACAAACTAAAAAAATTAAACTTATTTCAGTCAAGCATAGATCGAGCATGATGCTGGACTCATAGAAAAAAAAACTAAATGAATAATATCGGTCACAATAAATAACTTAACTGATCTGCAGATCCTAAATAAAAATAGGTTCATAATTACAAGTGGCAGAACGAACATCTGATTTATTTTTTGCCTGAACATCCTGTAATCGAGATGCATAGGAAAAATAAAGTGAAGCGAGATCTTTCGAAATACTCTCGAAAATTGGAAATGCTATTTGTTTCAGATTAGAAGCGCACGTCAAAGCTGATTGATAATATTCGATCGCCTAAAATGCTCAAAAAAACGATAGTTATTGTGCTCAAACCAAATCTGAGTTTAATTTTATTTTTTCTACAAATATTTTGCGAGATTTTAATGATAAAAACCAATATGGCTGCTTGCTTCTCCAAATCGGAATTATATTCCTGACTGAAATGAGTTGAATTAACAATTGCATGAAATTGAAGAAGATGAAGCTGTCCGATATTTGATAACAAAAGGGATTCATTGATTTGATCTCCAGATAAACGAAAATAACCAACGCCCTAAACTTTTATAGTTAATTATTCTTTAACATCTTTGAAATAAATCCGTAAATAATAAATAATACACGCTAGAATAAAAATTATTAAAAATCAAATATATTTGCAATATGTAAGAAAAATTCATAAGATTAACTCGAAAACAAGACCAATATTTTTGAATTTTTATAAAAATTTTGCGCACCAATAATAAAACCAATAATAAAATACCTCTTCCAATAATTGTTTGCCGGAATTTACAACTTGCGATATAAGCACTTCTGGCGGCATTGAATTATCAAGACCAAAAAGATCCAAATCAACAGCAAATATCTGCGATAAAGTTTCTGCAATACGTCTTATAACGAAAAAATGGCAAATAATTAGATTCTATCTGATCACACGTAGATCTTTTTCATCTTCCGTCTTTTCTTATCCTTAAATTAACAATAAAAGTTGGAAAAAATTAAAGAAAGAAATACCACTTAAAAGTAAATGAAGAAAAGCTGAAAGCAACCTTTTTCGTGTGATACAGAAAGTTTTGTAGTTCTATTTACGAAAGTCTTCAATCGCTCGGTATACTGAATACCTAGGCAATTTTTCAAATTTCCAATCCTTCGCAATAATTCATTTTCAAAAATGATTGCTGAAGCAGTGGGAGGAAATAAAGACAATGGCGCTGAAAAAAATAACGAATATTCATAAAAAATTTTGGTGCTAAGTAATATAATAGAGCAAAATTTGAAAAAATTGACCAATCTTTTTCACAAGAGTTATTGCAACGTTTGCTGCACGTTGTGCGATTTCAATTTGTTCATGTGATTGCCCACTAAGCGTTTGTAGAAGCATCCATCCATATTCATTTTCAATATCTACTTAGTAAATATATATGGCGTACTGATATGAAAGGAAGTACCTTTATATAAATACAAGAGCAAGAAGAAAAAAAATTTTTACCAAGAACTGATCGCAAGCAAGTGCGAGCCATCGATTCTAGCTGTGCATCCCGATAACATCTTCTCAGATCCACCTAAAAATTTCATTAATTTCATTTCATTTCATTAAAAATTTCATTTTTTTTCTACGAATGAAAATTAAAGATTAAACAAAACAAAAAAAATTTAAATTAAATTTTGCGATTTACACAATGTCTTCTAGGAAATTTCATATGTTTCCAAATCTTCTTAAAAAAGCACCGACCTTTGAAAAAAGTTAACAGTACCTCCGCTTCAATTTTAGAATTTAAAGATGAACAAGCGATATTTCCAATAGCTTCAGCTGCGTGACATAACATCGCAGGTAGAAGTGAACGAGCAGTGGCTATATTTCTACGAGCATTTTCAGTTATTTGGCCAGAATTCAATGATAATACAGCAACTAAAATTAATAAAAGCCACTAAAAACTAAAGTGAAAATAAATTAATTTTAATTTGATTTATATGCTGAAAATACAAATGCATAAAGTAAAAATGGATCAAATAAATTAAAAACTGTTGGAAAAAACCACATACGGCAACAAAGCGTTCCAACTCTAGCAAACCGCAAAGTTCTACCATATCTTCCCAGGACAAAAGAACTATTGGCAAGAGTACGATATGAAGTTGCAGCACGAATGAAAAGTATAGACTGAACGTCAGTAGCCAAAGCAATATCGGCCTCTTCTTAATAAATTAAGAGTTGAATTTTAAAAAATAAGTGTTTTTAGCTGGTATTTTTGCAACTATAGCAATCTTTTTTGATTTTCAAAATGGTATTTTATATTCTTTCACAGATATAAAAATAAAATATTGATAAAATAAAATAAAAATAAAATAAATAAATAAAATAAATAAATAAAATTAAGCGAAAAAATGATATGCAAAAGACAAAAGTACGAATCGAATAAAGCAGAACGAAAAAAAAAATTTTGAAAACGAACCACGACCGTGATCAATCGATGAATTATCAGCTTTCATAAAAGATAACGAAACATTAACATGTTTCAAATCACTGTTCTGTTTCTGTAGTTGGTGAAACAAAATCATTGACTGAAGACCCTTAAAAATTGATAAAATGAAGCCTATGTGCAGAAAAACTCATTAAAAACGAATACTTCGTAACAGTGCTCAAGTGCTTGTTTGCAGCAATCCTCCGTAGATGAACAATTTGGAAGTGGTCGCAGTTTCAGTGGCTTTTTTTGTCTAATATCTTCCATTTGTTTTTTTTTCAGTGACTCGACCTATAATATAGAAAAAGAATTTAAAGAATTTGAAATTGCTTCAGAATTTCTGTAGCAGCTAAATTAACTTGAACTTTTAAATTTCAATTATTTCAATTATGAAAACGAAACGATATAATTTTCCAAAAAAAAAACCGAAATCGCAGCATAGTTATTGTAAGTTTCTCCATATTCTTGCTGCCACTGATCATCATAAGCCCACATAGGCTCGTTTCTTTCTATTTCTTCTTCATCGTCATCACTCCTTTTTATTGCATCATGACCATATGAAAGATAAAGATTGGCTAGCAAATAATGAACACAAGCGATAACCTAAAAACAATTTTAAGTATGAATTAGATTAATCTTTTTTTACCATCTTAACTCACTAAAACTCAATCTTTCAACAACATTACTCTACATTACTCCAACACTCCATCAAACCATGCAGTGCATTTTTACCGCAGCAGATAACATATAAAATCCGAAAGAACAAATGACTATTGAGGACTATTGAGAGAGGATGGACAAACCTAATGGGTGTTAAGGAAAAATGTGAGTCGTTGGTGCAAGAAAATAATAAAGTCCAAAGAAATTTTAAGAGAATATACTGAGTTTTGTAAAGATGGCAAGGAATTTAATATTTTATAATAAGCCATTTTTTATAATGCTGGCATTTAAAAGTTCTTTCGATAATGAAATAAACAGATTACGAATCTAAATAATTTATAAATTTTTTTACTTGTGGATGTTTATTTCTGTCGATAATTCCCAAACAAACATTCAATAATCTGTAAGCAGCATTAGCTATCCTTTTCGGTCGTTTATGGGCAGATCGACGCATCAAATTTCGTGCAACCTGAAAATTTGACATAATCCAATTCTAAAATTCATTTACTTATTGTTTGAACATAGATAAATAAGGTAGATTAAACTGAAGATAAATGGAATAGTAACAATATAGACATGACTGACCTCCATTAGAGATAACTATAAATAGAGATAAATTTTGGTCAAAAGAATGTTTACCAGCCGAAAACTCGTTAACATTTGCTTTAGAATTCGTTAAAGTAATTAATTGTCAATGTTATTTTTGAGATTTATTAAAATATATAATTTTAATTGTATGCGATGTTATATTTTCTCATACAATTTATTTATATGTTTGAATAAAGCTTTAACTATCCAAGTTTAAGGCATATGATGACGAAACGAAATTTTTTTTTAACGAAAAGGGAAATCATAAAATCTAAACAAACGAATAACAATTCTTTTTCGAATAATAATTTATAATACTAGTATAATAATAATAAATACATAACAAACATAATATAATAACCTTATAAATAAGCATGCCAACACTGAGAGTAAACGGATTAGCAGTTGAATCATCTAAAAGATCACCGCAAAGTGGGGTCAAATCCCAAAGCCTTAACATAGATTCATTTTCTCGATCACCTTTGTCTTAAAAGAAGCAAATTTTCCAGTTCAATAAAGATGGATATTAAAATATCTCAAAAACGTTAAATACTATCATAAAATATTGTAAACAAACCATGTAACAACCAATAAGTATGCCCTTCTTTTGCAACATTTTCTTGCAAAAAGGAGACAATGTTTTCAGCAACGTTTTTTAATACAGATGGATCGAATTTAGAATTTTCCAAATGAGGAATATCTTCAGTACGGATCACTTCATATTCCTATTGCAGAATGATATGATAATAAACAGTAAAACAAAAACAATTAAATAAATGAATATGAAATTATTCAAATTAAAAACAGAATCACCTTAACATATCCACTCCTATGCCAACAAAGTAAAGCTTCGGGTGCATTACACATGGATTGATCCAAATATAGATCGACACCTGTTAAGAAATTGATCGGTCGGTGCTTCATATCTCTATTAAAGTATAGTTACATTTAAAATAGAATGGAAAATAAAATGTTGAAAATAGAATGGAAAAATGCCACACGCCACAAAAAAAAATTGGACAACAAATCCAATTATCAAAAAAGTCCAAAATCTAATTTTGAACTTACTCCAAAATTCCATTAATGAAGCAAACAGAAACATACTTTGGATGAAGAGTTACACAAGGATTGGATTTGCATCCAAAAATTGGAAGATTTACATCAACCAAAATATTGAGATCATAAAAATTCCATATGCGACCGAAAGCATCAAATTCGACCTTTAAGTTTCACTGTTAAAAATAAAGTATATATAAGTATATAAAACATCCATTTAGTATAGTATTTTTTATGCATAGTATAGTATTTATATTTTTTCATTTCTTATTATTTTTAATTACAAATATATATATTTAAAATATATACATATATTTAATATTTATTTATATATTTAGAATTATGAATATTTCTAAATTTAAAAAGTTTAAAATTTAAATTTCTCACCTTCCCACAATCGTCTTGGAAATTTGGAAAATTGTAATGCTCAAGCGGATCAGAAAGGCCATTTTCATCAATATTAAGTTCAAGCTGGCCATTTCCATTTCCATCTGAAAATGAATAAAAACTGAAAATGAATGAAAATGAATGAATAAATGAATGAAATGAATAAAATTGAGAATTGAATCAGTTGTAGAAAATATTCTAATAAAATAAAAAAAATCCGTAAAAACGATTAACCGAGAGAATCATTCGAAGTCTCATAATCTCTATTGGTTAAATCATCATTTCCCGTTGACTGGATAGAAATGCTAAAAATTTCAGAATCAATGAATTTTTCTTAATTATTCTTGATTATCAACATTTTTTTCTTTCAACGGAATAAAAAATAAGGATATTTTTAATTATAAAACGCAAATATAAGTAAAAAAATTATATGATATATGAACATCCATTTCAAAAATTTTTATATAATAATTAAGTTTTTATGAATAATTAAAAAATTTTGTAATGAATAAGATTTTAAAGATATTTATTTTTGCTCAAGTGTCAACTTCTTGATATACAAAATTGACACAGAAAAAGTTTTAAAAAACTGAATTACCTTCTTGAATATAAATTCTCAACAATCATATCTTCGCCTAAGCTGGCGATTAGTTCATCTGTTCGTAATTCAGCGCAAGAAGCACCAATGCTTTTTAAAGACTCAGAACTTAAAAAATTTGCAATCGAAGGAAATCCTTCTCCCACTGAGTATGACGATGTCTAAAAGTCAAAAGATTAAACATTAAAATAAAAACATTACATTAAAATATTTCATATTAAAATAAAAAAAGAATTTACCAAATTTGGCAATAAAATTTAAAAAATTTATCAAATTTGCCAAACTCACATGGAGATGTTCGCTATTATCAATAAGAACTGTTTTCCCTATTTTATGAAGAACAAGGCTTAATGACTGTTTCGAATCAAATGGCAACAATAAAAGTTTCTTTAAAGTATCGGCTCCAGCAATTAAATCAACATCGCCAACAGCATCAATATATTTGTTTGCTAATTTTATACTAAAATCTTATATGAAATCAGAAAGACAAAAAACAAATAGTTTAGATTTTGAAAATCAAAACATCGAAAAATTAAAACCAAAAGATTGCCAAAATCAAACTGTACCGAGCCATTCATAGATTATGATTACTGTAAAATTATTTGGCAGTTTTTTTATACTCATATCTGACTTGCAGCTAGATAGTATCAGTACCAGATAAATGTTTTTTTGCGGATTTTCTTCTCTTATTTATTTTTGCGATAAATTTTCATTTTATTCATCTTTTATCGACAACAGTTTGAAGTTTTCTTTATATTTTTTTGTGGCTTCATTATTATTTCACCATTTGACTCAATGGTAGTGAAGATAATTGAAGAGTATCAGTTGCCATCAAAATATTTGATAACTTCAGCAGTAATAAGAAAATATATCAATATGATACAGATGATACAGACGGTGGCATAATGGCAAGATGATATCACTGAGAACCCACAATATTTCGAATGTGGCGGATATACCAAGCTTTGTCTGGTGGCAATGTCACCGTACGGAGAAAGCAAAAGAAGCATAGGAGAGTGGCCTAGAGTGGCCAATGCTGAGGACCTGTTCTTCAAAAATCCGGATGATGCTGGCGACCATACTTCTATCGCCAAAAGATTCCCTAACAAAATTTATCTGGTCCTAAAAGCCAGTGGAGCACCAGTAGTGGTAAGCGCTCTTAGAAAAAATATCTGATATTTATGTAATATAATATTTAACAATATTACAATATAGTAATATTTATATAATATATAAATATGGTAGCCGCGCCGCTCAAAATTCCAAACACCAGGACCCTGGATGGTCAAGATCCTCACAAATGATTTCACTTCCCTTTATGACAAGAGAAACCATATAAATGCCTGGACATTCCCAAGGTTTTTATAGCTTTCTTTCTTTCAAGACGTTGAGATCTTTCGAAATTTAATTTTCAGAATTTTGATGTAAAAATATATACCTACGGAAACAATCGATGCGTTGTTTGATACTAGCCCGTCGCCATCCTCGAGAATAATTGCCTTGACCTACCCAAGCAGCAAGGGGTGGTACATTGAGATTCGTATTTGGTTCCAATCTCACCACAGGCAAAGGCTTTTTTGGTGATATCAACGATTTCAATCTGTTAAAAAAACTATCCATTATCAATTATTAAAAGATTTGCAATAACCTGAAATGAATTATTAAAAAATTTCAAACTTTTCCCAGATGATTTTCAGAGAAAATCAACAAAAAAAATCAATAGACAAATAAAAAACAAAGTTTGAAAAAAAGGAAAATTTCAAATTATAATTAAATAATTAAAAAATAAAAAATCACTCTGAAGTATAGGCGATAATTTGACCATTTGATGACGAATTTTGTTTATCAACCATTATTAATTGTTGAAAGTCATAAAAAATGCAAAAATTCGAAATTACTAAAATTATAAATTAAAAATCAGCAGAATCAAAGGAAACTTGATTACTTCCTTATATTGAAAAAATTGCTCAGAAAAGAAAAGAGAGAAAAGAGAGAAATTAAAAATATTAAATTAAAAATTAATTTTGGAGAAATTTAAGGTTACTGCAACATATAAAACACAATGAGAGGTCTCTCTCCACTACGCATTTGCCATTTATATTGACTGCATGCTACTTTACTCTAATGCTCAAAAGTGTTGCACTGCAAATGAGTGCCCTCTTTGCGACGACTTGCCGTTTGCCATTTGCAGTTAACAGGCACGCTGAGATAAAAAGTATAATTCCAAGGGAAAGGAGAAAATTTCAAACAATATTTTCTTCGAAATTATACTTAAAATGAAATAAATAAACGTAGATAAACGGAAAAAATGAATAAGTGAACAAATAAAATAAATATGAATAATAATAATAACAAAAATTATTGTGACAAACACTAATGACATAAAAAGCGATTAAACTAATATTTATGCTTTCTTTTAATTCGTTCGCCAGCTGTCGGACTCTTCTTTCCCTTTGCCTTTCCCTTTTTTCTTCGCTCAGTTTTGAAATGAAAGTATTCTCAGAATATCTCCCACCCTCATTAATTTGCCAGCAAGCCAATTATTGATCTCGACAGGGCTCCAAGTACCATCTTCGAATCCGAAGTCCGACACCAAAATTTCCCGTCTCTTTTCGTTCAACTTCCCAATCCCTTCTACGAATCGATTAAGGGACAATAATAGTTGCGCGATTACTGCACGAGGATATTGGAAAAGCACTGAAGACTAATAAACCACAATAAGCATAAAATAAACTGTCGAAGAACAATGAATATATGAAATAAACCAGAATTTCTCGAAAAATGTACATTCGAAATTTTTAGCATTTATTTGAATCCGAAGCCGCTTTTCAATCCTACTATTTATCAGTTTTAGCTGGGAACTGATATGTTCTTGTAGGTATGGTGATCAAATTGACGAATATGGCGAACACACCATAGAGCGGTGAATTTTGCCAGTCACCGAAAAGATCACATTCGTACCCAAGGAGTATTTTCGACATCGTTGTTCGCGTAATTCATCAGAATGGAAGTTTTTTAATCACGTCTCTCTCTCCACAGACAACTATTTAACGAAGAGTTGCATCCTAAAAACCTATGACGCGATCCAGAAAATTTGTTATTTATGTTTCCCACTTTCCTAGAATTTCTAGAAAAGGAAGGTTTTCCATAATATTTTCAAGTGCGCTGCATAATTTTGTTTATGCCTAAAATATTCATCACTGGGAAAAACATATTTATTTAATACATTTGCCAAAGGGACTTAAATATACAGCAAAAAATGTGCTTTATTCCTCCTTAATTTATAATTTAGTGGTACCAAACTGTGTGTTTTTCTAAATTCTAAACGACTATTAACTGACCATAAAATTTATCATTGTAAATTTTGTGCAAATTGTGTATCACTGTAAATTATTTTTATTTAGCAAAAATTTTGTCGAGAAAAATTTGAAAAAAATTATGAAACTTTGAAAATAAATGACGGATGAAAGGAAACAATAAAAAAGAAACGACTTGCAGAAAAGAAATAAAAGAAAAAGGAAGAAATAGAATGGACAATTTAAAAACAGAAATTGGAAAAACTAAGAATAGGAAAAAATTTATGTAATAAGTTTTTTTAGGTGAAAAATATTTAGCTTTTTTTGCCATGTGCTCACTCACTCACCATTGCTATGATCAGATTCGCTCTGCTGGACTATCAGATCAGAGCAAATTTTCCACTCGGCGATAGCTGAGTCGCCAGCACAACTCGGAATCAGTCAAATTTCTATTGAAAGTTTTCCAGCATTTTCCGTTATCTCATCGTGCAGCTGATGGTAAAGCGATATTTTAAACAAATAACAAAACGCACTAATTTTAATTTCTGTCTGTGGAAATTCCTAGCGCATTGACACCAATATAACTATTTAATTGGCTATTTCTATCACTGATGGTAAAGAACCATTAATGAAAGAATAAATTTTAATTTTGCTTCCTCTTCCTATGCAATTATGTTCTTATGTATCAACTGTTCACATGTGGACCGTTAACCTGGAAAAAAGCCACTAATAGGGTATAATTCGGAGAAGTGTAGGGATAACCAGGTTTAGTGCAGCCGCCAAATATTTGTAGAGTTGAGGCACGAACATTAACGTGAACAGTTGCAATTCCTCGCTTATCGCCTAATTTTGAAACCAGCTTAACCAGCAGTGAATATTATTCGAATTTCCAAAGATCTACGAATGAATCTTGACGTAGCACTTTGCACTGCATTCTGGTGTTAAACAGCAAAGTGCACACGAATGTGCACACATTTTTATAGTTTATGCTTTATCCTATTAACCATTCGGATTAAAACGGTAGTTCATTTTGTTTCATCATATTGAGATTAATTAACATAAATCTATCGAAACGACGAAATTAACGAATTAAACCGAAATCGAATTAAATCTTTCGGCGTAGATTTTTTCTTAATAAATTTTTTAGTTTTAGTGAAATGTTCGCATGGTTTGCAAAGTATTTTTGCACTTCGGGTGCGGATTGACAAAAACTTACTTATCTCTGCAGCAATCTGCAATAGCCGACGTCTCGCTAAGCGTTTTCCTTGAGTTCGCCTTTTTGTAGTGAAGCCTGTAGTGATGCAGAGAGTTTTTCTGGACCCTCGAAAGTGGTGTTGTACTCTTTTTTATTCATTCACTGAGTTCACTGAGTTCAAAGGATTACACCTATTTGTAGCGTTTTATCTTCCCTTATTGCTTATAGCAATTACATGTATTTATTTTCATTACTTCCTAATCTTATTCGTCATAATAAACTATTATTTTCTCTATTCCGTACTGCAGTTTCGTTATTTCGTTATTGGGCGATATTATTCCAATGTGAATTATTTAATGAAGTTTCCAATAACTGCTTATTTTTCATCTTTCGGCATAGATTTTTTTAATAAAATATTTAGTTTAATATAAATATTTATTTAAAATATTTGATTTTTGTTATAAATTACATGTAAAGTATTTTTTCATTAAAATTACCTTCGGGGAATCAGTCTATCAGTATATTTCCTTGGAAAATTTTCTCTTCTAAATAGACTTATGGTGACATGGGACAGAAGGATGCCAAGTCGGATTCTAACCAAGTCGGATTCAGACCAAGACGCGGTTGTGCTGACCAGATATTCACGCAAAGGAGAATATTAAACATCACAACACTTCAAATATTACAACCCACTATCATTTTGCAGCTGCATTTGATTCGGTTGATAGAGAAGTACTTTGGTGATGGAATATGACGCCAGATTCGTTCGACTCACAAAGGCATTTTGCCAGCTGCGTATATATCTATGTATATGAGGAACTGGGACCCTTTGTCTCTTTTAAAATAAGAACTGGTGTCCATCGAAGTTGTCGTTACAATGAATGAAAATATTTATTGGAAATTACAATTTGCGACAATAAATGAAAAATAATTATGTAACAAATTCGAAATAAACAGCGAATGTCGAAAAAGAGAGAAATGTTATGTTAATAATTCCAAAAAATATAACTGATTCTAGGAGCCTATACATTGCCCACATGTTGGTCGGGTTTATAATATCACGCAGGTGGATAAAATATTGCATCAAAATTAGTTTTCTTTTTTATCTAAGAGGAAATTTTTCATAGCTGCTTCTTTGAAATAAAAAATAATTTTACAAATTAGCTAAAAGATGTGTGAAAAAAGAAAAGAAAAGAAGAAAGATAATTTTGTACGATTTCCTTGGAATACCTTGGCACAATCGTGATGAAAATCTTGATGTCGACTCTCACTGCATAAATACACTAAAAAAATTCTCAAGAATAATTATTTTTCGGTCGTTTAAAGAAATCAAAACGTTCTTATCAACGTTCTTATAATGTTCATTATAACAAAGCATTGTTCATTTTTCCTTGAATATAATGCAACTTGTTATTCCCTTATATACCGCAAACCAAGCAAATTAATTGAGGTACTCCAAAAGTACCTTGTCGACTTTCACCTAAGAGTAATCTCAAGTATCGAGCACAACTTCAACTCAACTGTACTCATGACTTGGGCTCATTCTCCATTCTCGAATTAAGTAAGATTGATTTTACATATATATGTACATATAAAGTCCTATATGGTTATTTCAAATTAAAATGTTCTAAACATTATAATTTTAGGTTAAATTTGAACCCAACAAGATATAACGGGTTAAAACTATTAAATATAACTGCAAAACTAAACTAAGGCGCATGATTCGCACTATTAATTACTGGAATAAATTTCCAAATGACATAGTTTGTCATCCTTGGCTACTTTTAAAAAAAGATTAAATAATATAATATTATTAATATTAATAAGAGTGGTCAAATGCAGATAATTTCTTAATATCCATCCATGATACTATTTGAGAAGTTCACATTGTGAAGGTAGTTTGAAACCTTTACCATTTATCCTCCGATTATGTGCCAATAATACACTCAGTTCAACCCGAGTTATTTATAATGTAACTCCAATCTATTATATTATTTTTCTTTACATTGTTAACTTTTGTTCCTTTTATATCTTAAATCATTCACTAATTTCTTTTCATCGACCTCATTTTGTTATTATTAATAAGAATATGGCACTTGTAGCCGTTCTTGTTGCTTCAAAAAAATAAT